AAAAATAATCTTGCAGAATAATATCAATAAGAGATCCTAGAGATGTGTTGGCGATCATTGTAAGAGCCCAGTGACAGCCTCTTACATACTACAGTCCTACAATTAAGTCTGTAGGAAGGGTTGCAGTCTGTCTAAAGATACTGCTTTCTTCACCTCTAACTTTGTTAAAAATCAAGATGCAATAGCAAGTTCTTTTCTTCATACAAAAGCCTGAAGATTCTGAATGCTTGGTAATGTAAAGATTTACCTGCACTGATTACAAAAAGAAATAAGTGTTTCTAATAAAAATATGAAGAGTAGATGTAGCACAGAACTTTCACAGAAACAGTAACAGCAAAGCTAAAACCATTATAGTGGTGAGTAAGGAAGGCACCCACCCTCCAGAACAGTTTCCATATTAAAGTAGACGCATCTTTTCTGTGGAAAATATTTAGAAACTCAGAAAGTTATTTTATTAGCTTCTTGCCCATAAATACCACTGCTGGATTAGTTATTTGTGAAATTATTACTATTAGAATTCAGCTTGCAATGTTTTAAAGACTATTAATTTAGTTTCACTTTAGAAATAAACTGCTCCAAAATGCATACCAAAGTCCATTGAACTCAAAGGTCTTCATCCAGCTCAGAAAAAAATGAGATACTTGTTTATAGAAACAGTGGTAGTGGCAGACAGCAGTACAAGATAGTGCAATGAAAAGAGAAATAAATTTTCCCCGTTTAAATTATGCTTTTTTTGAGAGTTCTTTTTTGGAGAGTTCAAATTTACTTAAACCTAATGCATTCTTGCAGTCTCCAGAAGTAATAAACAAGAGAAACAGGAGTGAAAGTAGAATGAGGCGGTGCCCCAGCAGAGGGAGAAAACCTCACTCTCTCTTCATTTTTTAAAGACCATCAACTTGTGAAATAGCAGCTCCAAGTGCTCTGACTCTCACAGGAGGCCCTAGCATCTTGGGGAGAGTGTGGTTCATACTTAGTACTTAGGTCTTTCCCCTAATAAAGTGGAAATCACATGACATAGACACTGTTGAAAATGTTGCTCTATGCTTGAGCACAAGAGGGAGTAAAAAAAAAAAAAAAAAAAAAAAAGAGATGAATGGTCAGACAAATATTTCCTGTCTCTGACTGTGGTCAGAAAAGATGCATAGAGAATAAAATTCCCCTTTGTGTTTTCATAAGCTGATCATACATTTGAGCTTTTAGAAAAGCGATTTAAACAAGGCCATAGGAAAAAAGAAAACTATATGGGACTATAATTTCCTCAACTTCCTCAATAAAGAATGTATCTTATATCTTTCTAAAGAAATCCAAAAGCACAAAGTTCATGCATTAGAACAGTGCCAACCTGTGCAAGAGGCCAACCTGTGCAAAATACAAAGATAAAAAAACCTCAGGACACTCTTCATAGCCAGACTGTAAAAATACTAAATTTCTAGTTATCGTCACAGACAGGAACTTCAGCAAATATCAGTATTCGTATTCTAGTTGAAGTACTTAGAGATGTATGACATGGGCATTGTCTTTCTGTTGTAAAAATTTCAGTTCACTTTTCAACAAGTCCTCTTTTTTTTTTTTTTCCTCTGAATTATGGTTTTCAGCAGCTGAGAAGCAACAATACAGCAGTGGCATGCAAATACCAAAATATAAGTGCGTACTTCCAGGTGCATTCTTCCAATAAGCAGACAGAAGGAAGAGTGACTAACCTTTACTTAGCAAAGGAGAAAGGAATGCATCTTGCATGTGTGGTCCATGGGATGAAACTGTGTCAATCTCTCTCTGAGAGGAGCTGATAGCGCCAAGCCAGCTGCGACTCCGAGGTGCGTGTGAAACCCCTGTGTCCATTTCCATGTTTACAAAGGTGTCTGCAGACTGAGATTTTAGCAGCTGCTCCCCCCCGGCTAAAAAAAAGAACCCACCAAAGAAAAGTCATGTAACCATCAAAAAAGAAATTTGGGAAGTTATCTGCAGGCATTTCAGAAAGCTAAAACGTGTATCTAAGTCAATATTCAGTTAGTTTGCTAAGGGATCACCAAAAGTAAGGGAATGCAGCAAGTTCAGGTTTTCAAGAATTTCTGATCTGCTTTTTATGTCAGCACTGGCATAAAAGAATTATCAGCCAATAAAGTGTTAGCATCAATAGAACTAAATAATGGTGCTGCTACTACCAAAAATAGGAAGACTTGGCAGCTAGTATCAACTTTGCCCTAAGAAGATAAACTAGTGAACTGATAGATTAATAATACAAAGGAGGTTTACAGCAAGTCCTCAAAATTCTTACCCCTTAACATAAAGCAAAATTTCAAATATTAGGGACGTTATTTTGTTAAACATAAAAAAATTAATCAAAACTTCATATAAAGACTATATAAGAATGTTGATTTTAGTAATTTTCTGTAGCAGAATTTATGTCAAAGAGCAATATCCACGTTCAAGTCAACACCTGCACAAGTGATATCCAGTTCAGTCCACCTGAGAAAGCAAGAAACCTCAACAGAAACAGCAGTGTAATCAGACTACACAAGAGATGCCGTCTGTGTTAAACAGAAACCCTTCAAAAAAACACATCCTGTGTGAGAAAGCTGTGCAGGTGGCAAGCTTCTTTGCTTGGCTGAACCAAGGAAGGACAGATTCAGACTGAGGTGTAGGACTGCAGGAGGGAAACCTAGTCCAAATCAACTCAGATGTTACAGTACCTGTCTTGTACTTTCCATTCTTGAAAGGTGAATTAATAGACGATGCCGGTATGACTGGAAATGGCCAGAGGAAATCCTTGTGTAGCTTTTTCAAAGCGAACACAAAATCCTCCACGCGGGCAGCTCTGGCTCGCTCCTTGCACAGCCAGCCAATCAGCTCAAAGCCTAACTGTGCAGCAAAGCAGCCAAGGTCTTTCAGCTTGATTTCTTCTAGCAGACGCCGAGCATGCCGCCAGAGCATCATGTCAATGTACATGTTCTCGGCACAGTCACTGTCTTTACTCCACCTATAGACAGACCAGAGAACAGTGACATTAAGACTGATAAAACAGAGTCATAAAGGCTGTTGGCCACAACCACAGTACATCGAATGACCAGAGTAGTAGCTTTCTGTGTACCAACAAAAGCAGTTTCCACCATTCCTTGCTATTTATGTTCTCTAAAAGATCCTACTGCCTCAACGGGTAAGTGAAATAAGGGAAGGAAGTTACAACAGCAGCAGTGTCCATAGAGTATTAAACCATTAGCAATGCAGAAAAAAAGTAAAGAACGAGAGATAAAAGGCAGATGCCACTGCAGAGTGACTTCTGAGAAACAAGTTTATAGAACAAGTGAAGTATTAATCTAGGACCCTTCCTATCAAAACTCTTAAGATAGTACTCTCTATGGAAAATTACTAAATAAAAGCATTTGAATTTTTATTAAGATTGTTTTGAAGGTCTTATATGGGGGAAAAAAGTCAAAACCAAGATAATAATGAATCCCAGCTCAGTGCTACTTCTGAACATTAATACTGATAAATACGAATTCTGTATAGAGCAGTTTAAGAGGGATTCACCCCAAGCTGTAAAAGGTTCTATTTATGGCTTTACAACACACTGCTAGATCAAGATGTGCACAGTATCACAGTGCAATGTATACTATGATGCTGCAGTACCGTGAGCTCTGCAAGACATATCTTTCAGCAAAACAGATCCTTCAAATACAACGCATGCATTCTCACTAGCTATTTAAATTACTACGTATGCACCCAGTGGATTCAGAGGCTTTTCGTCAGCAATTTCCATTTAAGTGTACCTGCGTATATATACATACAAACACACACATACATTTACATGTGTGAGAATATATTCTTCCAAGACATAAGAGAGAGGCACAGGCATTACGAGAGTCAGGAAAAGACAAATGCAGAACGATGTGGAGGGAGACAATGACAAATCTAACTCTTATCACATAATGTACTTCTATAACTTAAATTGGTAAGAGAGTTAGTACAGTACCTAACAAAGTGGGGAAGGAGAGGACATTGCTACGAATTACCTTTTTCCAGATGGGCCAGAGGGCATACTCAGTGTTTTTGTCAAGTTAAATTTGCTATGGAGATTCTCTGCTGATTGGGATAAACTAATGCTGCGATGTCTGAAGAACTCAAAGCCACTACTTGAACTAGGTTCCTAAAACCAAGAAAACCCAAACATACAGTCAAAGGAGCAAACATGCTGTATAATAGCAAGATTAATCACACAAGGTTTGATGCACAGTATTTACTATTTTCATCACAAACCTGAGTTGTTGGTGTAGCTGGAGGTGTCTCTGTTTCTCCAGAGCCAATGGCTTTAAGAAATCTGATCATATGACGACAAAGATCCCACTTTCCCTGCTCTAAGGCAGTATTAAATAGGAGAGTAGCATGTTGTCTGCTAACTGCTGGAACTTCCATATTCTGCAAGTAACAAAGGATAATTAAGTCATTTGCTTTTGCCATCGAGCAACAAAAGTCCTATTAAGTCAAGCCACATCATGTCACATTCAAGTATACCAGAGATAAGAAGAAGGAAATTTCATGCTGTTATTTTTCCTTTTTATAACAGTAAACTAACTACTTACATTGCATGATATTCCCCCCCTTTATAACTGGACATAACCTCAACAAAGAACTGTTAAATTAAAAATTTGTTTAACATGCGTAACTTTGGTATGACAATATTTTTTAAATACTACAACATTAGTAAATATGACCTCCCTTGCAATATATGAGGTACCATTACCTGTAGGATAATAAGATAAGAGGCAGCTGTGTCCAAGTCCTGGGCCATTAAACACTCTTCAAATAAGTCCTTCGGGTTTCCAACAGCAGCAAAAAGGTAATTCCACAGGGCATATTCTGTCTTCCTAGCACAATGAACAACTGTCTGCAGGAAGAGGGGGAACTCTGTAATGAATTTTGCCACAGTGGGAAGCAGAGGGTCGGGAATGGGTTCCCGCGAGGTAGCTTCTTCTTCCAGCACTTCATGAAGCATCAGTTCTAGTACGTGAGGAAAGTATGGTAATGTGGCACAGGAGTGGGCCAAAAGCAAGGCTTGTTCACCGAGGTTCCTAACCAAGAGCTGGCGTAAAATGTGATGGAGGTAGATCTGAGAGGTTCTCTCAACAATGGAGAAAGGAAAGAGAACCTCTAAGTGTTCTCTAGCACTGGTTTGAGTGTATAAACAGTCATAGAGCACAGTGTCATTAACAGCACCAAGAACCAAGGCATCTTCAAACAAAACAGCCAATGGGTATATGTTGATGTGGAAAGGCAGCATGATCCGTCTTGACAGAAAGGAATGCGGTTTTCGATGATCTCTGGGAAACAGAGGAAGCCAGACTTTCATACCTGCCCCACCACAGCTGAGCCACAGAGCCTCCAATAAGTGACGTTTCTGTTTGTTGATCCTGCAAGTAGTCCATACATTTTCAACAGACTGGGCTAGGACAACTGGAGCACAAAAAGGCAGCTATTTAAGGAAAAAAAAATCAGAATTAATTATTCTTTTTTTTTTTTTACCCTCTTCACAAGAACTCTTTTTTCAGCTAAGAACTACTCTCTTCAAACATGTTATTCTTCTAACAAAGAAGAAACAAATCTGTTTATCCCCTAACTGCACCCTAGCACCTTTGAAAACACCACTTATTACTTACATTAACTCAAAAGACATTTCTTTCATTTTTTTTAACCTCCTTATACTTAGTCAGGAAGCCTGAGCAGTGAGAATAAGGGAGGAAAATAAAATCCTGCTCTCTGCTTCTTCAGTTGGCCCAAGAGTCCAACCTAGAACTGACAAAATTACTACAAACACCAAATTTGCTAGTGTTTGACTGAGCTGCAACAGCTTTTCATCTAAGCTTTTCAGATCTCACTTTCCCAAAGTCTTCTTCATCAGCACAGAAAAACCAAAAAGTTCAGTCACTGATTTATATTATTGTTGGTTTTAGGAACTTCGTAAACATACTCTGCAAAAAATGATCATGTTCCATAAACATACAGAACAGTTTTAGATAGACTGGAGATTTTCTGTCATTAGTGCATACCAAATTTTGCACAGGACCTTTACACTGAAAACGTTTATCTGTCAGTGCAATACAAGTAGCAAACACACATAAATACTTTAGTTAGACATTCACACAATTACGTAATAACTTTTCACAGATTCTTAGAGAAAAAAAAAAAAAATCACGGGACTAGCGATTTACTTCCAACTAACAATTCAGCCTGTAAGCATAAGACACTGCTTTGCATTATAGACCTCTTTTCTTTATGCCTGGACCACTCCCTTCCACAACTTCTTCAGTCACTGACAACATCTTTGAAGCCATATACAATATTCCACACATATTTACTCACATGCTTCCTTTGATTAGGATTATTATCCTTATCTCGTATTTGGGGTCCAGATCGATCCCTTTGCAACATGATGAGTTGTCCTGCTAAGTTTAGCATAATACTTTCAGCCTCACAAGCCTAACGATAAAAGAGTATTATGCAAATTATTTAAGCTTTTTGAATGTATCAATTTACCCACAACCACAATAAAAACCCAGAATAAAAAGAGTAAATTAACTGCACTGCCATACAGAGATGACTAACAACCAAATTCAATGCAGAACGACTCAGAAAAATCAAGTAGAACTAAGTACCTACAGATAGATTCATTTATGTAGTTCTTGGGCAAAGGAGTAAATACTGGAAGGTTTCTGGTTCACTGGACTCATTCCATGTGTTTGTTTGATATGGGCTTTTTCCAACTATGCCTCTTGGCAAGGGCAAGCCACCAGCATTTTAAGAAAACTAGAGCACTGTATTCTTATCAGTATCACCACTATACGATTGCCAGTATCTGACTGCAAAGACTAACACTGGTAGACAAGCCAAAAAGAGTTGAGCCAAAAACAGTTTAGCCACACTTGTACAGCATCTTGAACTTTTAGAAGCTGCAGTTAGAGAAAAATCTTTCTAGTTAGGTGTATCAAGAAAACAAAGTATTCTTTCTAAAGATTTATTTCAGAACTGTTTCATGCTAATTTTAAACGAAGTCACTGGAGCTAATACCATGCTGTGCATGCAGTTTAGTTTTAAAACACATGGTAGAGGGTCTGTATGGCAAATTTGCAGCATCAGGGGTTAAGGTCACTAATAGGTAACAACACCGAAAAGGCTGACACACTCTGTCTGACTTTGTCTACAGTGCATTGTCATATTCACTGCTAACATTAATACATTTCTTTTGATCAGGAGGATTGACAAAGTTTGAGCCTATGGGCTTCTAGTTAGAAAGAAAAGAGGTAATATTTGTTCAGTCTGAAGCTAAGTTTAAAATATTACTAGTGCTCTAAAAAGTTTCAGTAGCTTTTTTGCAAAATTAGGAAACACCACAGGTCAGGTAGTTGAGGAATAAGGACGCTGTCCCATGGCAAGACAGACCACAAAACCACAAGCATGTCGCCTTTTTATGCCCTTGTGTAAGACTGTGTCAGTCTCAGGACACACGTTCAGCATTGTGGGCCACTAAATTAGAGTGAACTGAAGGAGGCAAGCGTAAACCTTCAGATTTTACATCTGTGGCATTACTTTCATATCTGCCAGTGGCTTTGGTATGTGGAGAAAAATACATACCTTCACATGTCTACAGGCCTGCCTCACAGACCACGCAACTTCTGTACTATCTTAAGATAGCTGCACTGATGAGAAAATACTCTTCATACTGCAGCTATTCAAATAGTTAAGCTTAATTTCTTCATACCACAGACAACAAAAATCCAAGTTCTCTTTGCACTGTGCTTTCAGTGGCCTGAATAATTTCCTGGAGTTAAGACAGGGCTTCACCTTCATACCTTAGTTATTGTTTGGCTGTTGGCCTACCTCCTGACCTAACTAGTGGGAGAGATTATCTATCTTTATTTAAGTGTAGCAGGAAATTGACTAGAAGTAACCTTATAGGGTAATACGCCATCTTTTCTGTTTTTATGTTTATTCTTTAAGTAATGAACCTGTTACTGCAAGAATGGCATTTCCTAATGCCATGGCTTGCTCTGGTGTTCAACTTTTAATACACAACGGAGAAACATACCCTTGACATTGTTAAGTTTAATTTGTCCTCCAAGATTTGGCCCAAAACTTTACAAGATGACAAGAGTAGATATGAAATAGAAGTAAGACTTTGAATTTTATTTCCACCCATCACCTCCAATTCACACATAAAGTGTCTACATAACAAGCATCAGAAAAAACATGTTCTGCATTTTACTACATAAAAGAACCACTGATTTATGATTCATTTATCAGTCAGGTAACCTTTGAGGACTAAGCTAACAAGTCCAGGCACCAATTCTTTTAAATTTTGAGCACTATAGACCTGTTACCTGCTGAGGCATCTTCAAGGTGATGCCAGTCTCTGTCCTCACTGATGTCAACGTAACAGACACTACAAGAAAAGGATGAGGAATGTACCGAGACATGGACACTTCTTGAAGAACTTGGATACTGGCAGTAGGGTTAAGACTGAAAGGAAAGATGACTAAGTTTAGCAATTTTAAAATAGTACTTAAAAAATTAATATCTTGAAGTAAACCTAATGAAAGTAAGCAACTTAACCTCAGCAAACAGTTTACTCTACAGCCCAACATGACTTCCCTTTAACCAGGAATCCCACAGGTCCACATATCTACTCTACATAAAGTTAACAAATAAACCTAAGCTGGGCTACTTTATCTTGATAGTTTGGGGGAATACAGCTATGAGTGAATAGAAGACAACATCAGATACTACAGAGTAAGACTCTATTCGCCCTTAAATTAGACAATTCCAGGGTTTGGATTTTGTTGGAGTTTTCTTTGAAAAGTATTGCAAATATTTTCCTCTAAAGTGGATCAACAGCTCGCTTTCTGCTAAAAAAAAAGAAAGGTCCCTTCTTGCTGAAACCAAGATGCCATAACTATAAGAAAAATCACCTGCTTAGGCACTTCAAAAAACTATCTGGGAATCTTTACCTCCTCCTTAGGTTCACAAATCTTAACTGTCTGAAAGTATGTGGGTCTTATGATGCTACCTCTTCTGCACCAAAATAGCTACCCACAACCACACCACAGACCAAACTTCTTTCTTCATCTTTGCTACTCTGCCACCCTCACCAATTCCTATTTCTAATGTTAGAAGCATTTTTTATTAAAAATATTCAAATATGTGAGTGCCTTTTAGTACCTTTTTCTTCTATTTACATTCATTTCCCAAGTCCCTATCAGCTAGAACATGTTTGTACAGACAGCTGGAAACACACATCTCAGTCACTACCTCCACATCTACTGTGCATATCTGCATGCAGGCAAGTGACAACACTCATGAACTATCACTTGTGCATACAAACACCCCTCTGTATTTTAAAAATCTGACTCCACAAGTTATCAAACAACTTCATATTATCACAAGAATTGACTCAGGCCGAGAACAGATTGACAAGTACATTACTGCCAAAGCATTTAAATACTGATACTCACCCGTCAGGCCTTCTCTCAATACTGTAAAGGCAAATGGAACAATCTGCTCTGAACAATATTACAATGTCCCGGAAGACACTCAGTAGTAACGTGTCTGCTTGCACTTTGGTGATGTGTGCAAATGCATTGTCAAGATTAGACGTTCGCAGGTAGATTCTCAGCTACAAAGAAAAGGAGTAGTTTGAATACAGGTTCTGTTTACCAACAAACTAACAGTAATTGCACATTCAATTATTTTATTTTTTGTGGAATGACTGTCAAGGATTTCTAGTAAGGCACATTACTGGGTTTTTGTTTCATCAAATGTTTTATCCATCGCATTATATTATAAAGTCGTTAAAGAACAGTACAGTCAAATCTGAAGTACTGAACAACAAACATAAGGAAGGATTTTTATTCATCAGTTTTAAAAAGCAAAGAGTAAGCAAAGCTCTTCTGCCCATCTAATTTAAAACCTTACAGAAGTGTCCCAAAATACTGTAACTAGATACCTCAAAACAGGCTTCATGCTAGCATGCAATAATATTACAAAGTTTTCAGAACAATGAGTAGATTCATGGTAGTCAGCAGAAAATAGATTTTAATGGCAATAATAGACTTTTCTGCAAAGAATTACTTACATACTAATAAAGAATTTCTGAACATGGCCAAAAGCCACCTACGTATCATAGAATCATAGAACAGTTTGGGTTGGAAGGAACCTTGAAAAGTCATCTAGTCCAACCCCCCTGCAGTGGGCAGGGACATCTTCAACTATATCAGGTTGATCAGAGCTCCGTCCAACGACCTTGAATGTCTCCAGGGATGGGGCATCTACCACGTCTCTGGGTAACCTGTTCCAGTGTCTCACCACACTCATTGTAAAAAATTTCTTCCTTATATCTGGTCTGAATCTACTCTCCTTTAGTTTCAAACCACCACGCCCTGTCCTATTGCTACAGACCCTACTAAAAACTCTCCCTCCGTCTTTCTTATAAGCCCCCTTTAAGTACTAAAATTTTGGCCACAGTAAGGTCTCCTGGAGCCTTCTCTTCTCCAGACTGAACAACCCCAACTCTCTCAGCCTGTCCTCATAGGAGAGGTGTTCCAGCCCTCTGATCATTTTTGTGGCCCTCCTCTGGACCCACTCCAACAGGTCCATGTCCTTCCTGTGCTGAGGACCCCAGAGCTG